ATTACATATGAGTAGGATGAAACTGYAAACTAGTAATGTTGGATAACACCAATTTATTTCTTATTTGGATACCGGTTAAATCCGATATTGATACTTTGTGCAAATACRCCTAATGTGAAAACAACATTAAYGGAAACATGGCAATCCTCAAAACATATTACAGGCCATGTGAGATATCTTATTATCATTATTTCTCAATAAGATGACCTCAGTCAAAAGCTCCACCWTGAAGATAATAGGTGATTTTATTTTCTTTAAAAAAAAAAACTCTTTAAGTTGGTTTCATAAATGAAACAATTACAAAAAGCTACATTATATAGTGACACCAGAAATCTAACACGTCCTCCTGTAAGTCTCAGATTCCTGCTCCAGGTGAAATTAGAGGAGTCCTGTGGCATCAGGCCCAAATCCCTCCTGGGCGGTGCAGCAAGGCGATGATGGCGATGCTGGAGAGGCTGTGAGGCTGTGATCATATCCAAGTGTCTTCTTGAAGCCTCTGTGCCTGATCGCAAGGAGTCTTCAAAAATAAATATAGAAAAAAAAGGCAGGCACAGAGAGACGAGATGAGAGGGGAGGGAAAAAAAAGAAAACAACAACTGATTTCCATCAAAACAGATTGTCAAACCAGATGGGGACTGTTGGAGAACTGGGGCACAGTGGATGAAGAAAACTGGGGGTGGGGGCTCTGGTTAAGCAAATCTCAACACAAACCACACAATAACAACACAAAACAGATCTGAACACTCTGCTGCAATAGGTGCTGTTGTGTAATTTTCAGTAATAATGGATAATAATGAATTTTATTGCTAATTAATTGCATTCATTGAATAAATGTTCACCTGAACATTGTTGTGCACAATCACCAGAGATTAAAGTAACTAAGTACATTACTTTGTTACAGTACTTAAGTAGTTTTTTGTGAGGATTTGTAATTTTACCAATTATGTTTTTAAATAGCTACTTTAACTTTTATTTTGTCACATTTTAAAGCTGAAAATTATACTTTTACTTCTTTACTTTAAAATGTAACACCTTGTTACAAAATTAATTATGTTCGAACTCATCATGAAAGAAGATACTTCTGCACTCTAAAAAATGAAGTGTTGAATTTACTCAACAAAGTCATGTCAACTGGCTCCACTAAGCCTAATCGAGTAAACTGAGCAAATAATATACAAATATTGCTCAGTTTACTCAACCTGGCTTAGAGGAACCAGTTTGGTTCTGTTCAACAGCTTATTTCTTAGAGAGTGTGTAAAAGTAATTTTACKTTTACTTTCCCAATTTTTAGTGAACTATTTTATGACTTTTACTCGAGTAGCTTTTTCATCAGTGARCTTTATTTTTACCAAAGTCGTTTTCTGTTTATGTAATTTTACTTTTACTTAGTTTTTTTCAAGTATAGACCTCTGTCAATCACATTTAATATCACAACACATTATTCAAATGACGGCCCGCGGGCCACATCCAGCCYGTGAGTGACCAAAGTTGGGCCCGTCAATTGGTTCTTTAATCTCTTAAGCCCAAACCCCCGGTTTTCTACTTTAATTACTCTAAGTTCTTTTAGTTAAACATAGACATGTTTGGTATCTTCAGAAACGTCAGAATCTTTGCCACAAGCTGGTAAAAAACCATTTCTATGAACATCTAAGACAGTTAAAACCACAAGCAGTTGAAGATAAAACTATGAAAGTGAAAATAAAACTGGTTCAAAAATTTGGCAGGTCAGAGATGTCAAAATATTTTGTGGTAAATAAAAGGAATATGTTGCTTTTTTGTTTTAATATCACTACATTTATTAAACGGGATTCTGTATGTTTTCATGATTAAATACAGCAAAGTAAACTATTTCAAAGGTAACAGATCTTTGTAATACTTAGTTTATTTACACAAATTTAATGGATGTTCGGCCCCTGAGCTGTTGGTCTGCATTAACTGTGGCCCCTGGAGCAATTTAGTTGAATAGCCCTGCATTATGCTCAGAGTTGTAGCATTAAGGAACATCCTCACTTTATGGCCTTTAAGCTAAAATCATCTTCTGCCCACTTTTAACCACAATAACAGTTGCAAGATAAGTTTCACCTTTCTTATATCCCTTGGTTCCAGAGTATGTACTGGGAATAATGCTAAGTTACCACCACACCAAATTTTAGCTCAATTGCTGTACAATTGGCTGACAAGTATGTGTTTTCTGTGTTTTTTATTAGCTGTGGCAACCATCTTGAATTGGGTTGACTCTAAGTTAATTAAGTTTTGACGTCCGTCCAGTAATTATTTTCTGAAAGCATCATTAAATCTGTCCAAGCATTTTGCTAAAAGACAAACAATGTTTACTTTAGTCAATTTCAACATATTAAACAAAGATTTACAATCTGTTAGCTCCCAAACTATGTGTGACTGAGGAATCCTACTACCACAGCAAAAATGTGCTCAGTATTTGTACATTTGACTAACCACTTTGGTGTTCTTTAAGGTCAGTTGGCGTGTAGTTGCCGTCAAATTATTGAAACATTCAAAAGGATGAACATATGTTTAGAATTGTACATTTTGGAGATGGAAATACATTATAAATACAAACTGTTTTTGTCTTACRGGAAAGTAAAGCGTCCTGAAGCTGAAATCTCAGGGTCAGTCTTGATGGCTGCGTTTAATTTCCTGGAAAGAGAAAATGTACCAAAGTGTCTCTAACCTCTCACCTTCGAGCATGATACGTCTGCCTTACAAATGACGAGCCAGAGCTCCAAGTGTGGCTCGCTGTGTACGGAATTAATTCCTCCTGAACTATCRGTGCTCCTGGAACGATTCTACATGCTCCGACCATTATCATGGTGCCTCTGGCAACACCTGAGCAAAGCTCATCAGCATGCCAGCACTGATTCAACACGAGGCTTGCTCCAAAGTGGATTGGCTAGATCACATGCTTTAAACATGTTGTCGGAGCCAATGCACGCTCGTACCTCCAACAAGAGGCTTTTTCTGTCAGCCATTAACCACATGGACTGAATAAACAAGCTCATCTTCAAGCCAACAAAGGCATTTCATATTGCTGAATAATGTTGTTCAAACGACAAACTGGGATTTTTAATCAGCAGCATAAAAAAGAAATGTTCTGAATGAACAAATAGGCGAAGGGTTTTTACATTTTACACAAAAAGGGACAATAAAAGCTGATGGAATGATATAAATATGCTTTTGTTCTATTGAGCTGAGACCAAAAACTGCTAAATTAGCTGACTGTGTTGTATTAGGATGACTCTGAAAGTTTGACAGTTTTCAATTGTTTTAGACAGAAAGTACAAATTGTATTTGGAAGATACTCAACTACTCCTACACCAAATTGTAGCTCAGTATCTGTAAAAYTGTATTTCCTGTTCAYATCCCTCCACTCAGGCAGAGGGTTTTGGTCCATTTGGAACAGAACATCTCACCATAAGAACAGTTTCTTCCCCTCAGCCGTCAGACTTTGAACATTTAGAATCACGTCACTCCATAACTCTGCCTTGGTCACTTTATCACTGGTTTTTAAATTGGACAACTCTGACTACATTGTTTTTCTGGTCACTTTTATCACTGGATATAATTGCACTACTCCAACTATATTGTCTGCTCTGATTACGGTATTGAACTGGTGTACATATGTTTTATATATTTTATTGTGACCCCCGCACGCAAAGCATAAGCGGGAGTCATATTGTTTTCATTCTGTTTTTTTTTTTTTTTTTTTCAGTGATTTTTTTGGTCAACCGTAACACAAAAACGGCTGCACCAATCAACATGAACTTTGGCAGGACTGTAGATGAGTCCAACCTACAC